TTGCCGGGACCCCGGGGCACCGCTCGGGCACCGCGCCTTCGCGAGGACAATAGCGGCGCCTAGCCCCGCGGACAATGAGCGGTGCCCGGTGGCCGGGGTCGGGGCGGGCGTGGGGCTGTGGGCGCGCGTTTACGCATTTTGGGCGGGGGCGGGATAGGCGCCGGGCGTGTTTATAGACGATGTTGATGTCCCGGGTCCCCCAAGCGACGACAATTGTCCCTCTGCCGGGGGCGAGGCGGACGCACTTTTGTCCACTCGTGCTCTTAAGCACCTGTCTGCGCTGACCTGGACAGCCATCACCAGCTAGTCTAGTGTTCGCCGCCTGCATCCACTCGCACCTCTCATCCGCACCTCTCTGCACACATCTTGACCAGGACTTGTCCTCTGTAGCCCTATCCGCCACACTCGCATTCGATCTTCAACTGCATATTTTTGACGACCTTTCTACTCAAGCTAGAACCAGCTACGTCTTCTTCCGTCTCTCGTGAGCATATTATCCTTCCATACAAAATGTCTCAGATGCTGACGTTGTTTCACAAGACGTCTCATTCACGTTCTAATTCTCCATATATCATTCATGTCTGTTGCTGTCTCTGCCATTCAACCCATCTACAACTCGGTCAACACTCCGGTGCAAGAAACTGCCCCAGCAACTCCTGCTTACGCCTTTCTCGCATACCCGCCGCCGCAGAAGAAACGCCCCACGCAGCCCCTCCCGTCTCCCCCGGCCCCCAGGCTTCCGTCTTGCGCCCCGTCCTATCCTAGGCGCCGTTCTGCCACAACTTCTGCCGTTGCGGCGTGGGTCGCCGCTGTGCACCCGGGTTCTCCTGCGCCCCGCTCTCCCCGCCGTCGCTCTTCCATCTCAAGTGCCCGCCGCTCTTCTGGCGGGTCGCCCTGCATCGCCTCCAGGCGCCCCTCTATCAACGCAGGCACGCCTCACTCGGCGTCGTTCCTGAGCTTCTCGGAGACGCCGACCACTGGCTCGAGGATCGTCATCACTCCATCTATCAAGGACTTCAGGCCTGACCTCACTACCGTCGGCTACACTTCCGTCTTTGTCCACTTCCCGGAGACGCCTCGCTCCGCCACCGTCTTCACGAGCAAGACCCGCCCGCCGTTGAGCCCCCAGCGCGTCGCCCCGCGGTCCCCCTCCAGCCCCGTAAAAGCCGGCAAAGGCCTCAAGTCCTTCCGCTCCCTCTCTGCACTCAGGCCCACGCGCCGCGTACGCTCGAAGTCGATCACGATGCGCGGCCCGCCGTCTCCTCCCCTGAACATGTCCATCCAGGCGAAGAAGTCGCCCACGCAGTCGAAGGCGTCCCGCGCGCAGACGAGCGCCGCGGTGAGCGCGTCGAAGAAGTCCAAGTATGCCAAGTTCCGGCCTCCGCCCCTTGCGACGGAGCTCGCGCTCGCGCAGCTCGCTGACGGAGGGTCCATCGAGGATCATATCCGGAGATTCGCCGAGGCGCAGGCCAAGGCTGGAGGCGCTGTCGAGCGCACGCGCGATGGCCGTCTCGTTGGTGTCTCCGATGTCTATCGCGACGGCGCTGGCGGCGTCTGGCGTGACCAGGACGAGGAATGGGAATACGCCCACCTCCTTGGTGGCGACCAGGAGTGGTGCGGGAGCGAGGACAGCTGGGTGCGCTTTGGCTCGCCCACGAAGGCGCGCAAGGCCTCCGTGGTGACCTCGGAGAGCGATGACGTCCGCAGGGGTAGCGTGTCGAGCCAGGACTCGGACCTCGACCCGCGATACGCCATGCGCGCAGAAGATGAGCGCGACGACCTCGCGGGCTTTGGCAGCGCACTCGCGCCAGCCTGCGCTCGCCGGCCCGGCATGTCCGTCCTCGCCATCCCAGCACGCACCCGCCGCACAGCCAAGCACCTGCGCAAGCCCGAGTTTCTCCTCGACGCCTTCCCCGTCCCCGCATCGCCTACCGGACCCCCTCCGCACGCAGCCGCGCAGGCCGTACAGACGACTAGGGAGAGGCAGCTCGCGGCCGCGGCGAATAAGCAGCGCAAGCGGCCCGCGCCGCTCACGCTCACGCCGCCGAGCCCGGCCTTCAAGTGTCCCACGAACCCTCTGGACGCGGAGCAGGTACGGGACGACTTCCTCGCGTCCTCGTTCGCCCCTGCACACCACGCCCCGGCGCGGCACGCGCGCACGCACACGCACACGCAGCTGCCGGTCGTGCCGGCGTCCCCGCGAGGGGCTGAGATGGCCGCGGCGGCGCCCTCGACGATCGCAGCGAAGAAGCCGTCCGCGAAGCCCGTGGCGAAGAACGTGCGGGGCTTTTTGCGCGCGATGGGCGTGAAGAAGGGCGACCTCTAGGACGCTCTGCCTCTGGATCTGGGATGATTCGCTCTCTGGGGTCCGCCCGACCCCCGCGGGGCGGTACATGAACTGCTTCTTTGCGAAGGGCTAGATTGGTTGGTTGCTCGTTTGGAATGCCCTTGTCTCCTTGTATGACTGGTACGCTCTCCGCACTTTCTTGTTCTTCATTTGGCCCCTCTGTCGCATCTGTATTCCTATTCTATGTATTTTTCCTGTATTAATCTGTATTGTTACCGTCTTCTGGCGTTTGATACCCCTGGGACGATGTGTAGCAAATATTATCTGCCAGCTCTGAACATATTACATGGGCCTGAATGGCTGAGTTATCGCGTGTTCAACTATCTGTTCTAACTGTTCTTCCAATGCTCAATTGCTTCGCATTGAGTACTGTTCAGGACGCCTTTCAGATGCCATGACTCTGAGGTGCTGCTTCCGAATTCTGGGGCGTAAGAGTAGACGGATAGATTTAAGCGCCCTTTGCTCGTAGACAAACAGAGCCAAAGCTCGCGTCCGTGGCGCGCTGGTGGCGTTTGACGCGCGACGCGTTCTGCAGTGACACCCCACTGTAACGACTCGCGCAGCTCCAGCCACACTCACAGGACACTCGCGTCGCGTACCAGAAGCACACGCACAAATCGTTGTTTAGCTTATACGCGAAGAAATGGGACTAAATATAGACCATTTGAAGGCGAAAGCACTCGAGGTCATCACCGAGGTGGTCGAAGGAGGAAAGCTTGAGTAAGCGTACTAATCTCACAGCACTCCGACGGTGTGTGGCGTACTGACGAAGTCTTGTACAGCGAATTTACCAATGGGACGTTCAGGAAAGCCGTCGAACAGGCTATGTCCTTGGAAGCAGGTACTCTGAATGCTCCCGAATATAAGCCCATCGTCCACGCGGTCGCCAAGGATTATATCGTGCGAAGTCGTGCACTGTCCCTGACAAGGGGACACTCTCCACTCACTCGTTATGCTGTTTACAGAAGCATATAGAAGAACGTCAAGCCGAAGAGGACGAGGCAAAGAAGAAGCCGGCCTCGAAGAAGGGAAAGTCTACTGATGGCATGTCGAAAGCAGCCCAACCGCGCAAACCCAGAGCGAAGGAGTCTGACGCTGCCCCTTCATCTGGGAAGGCGAAGGGCCGAAAGTCCGAGTTCAGATCGGCGGTAGGGCGCTTCGCGCATGCCATTTTTGCAGCCATGATATAATGAATCCCGCATAGTCTATAATCCCGTCGTCCGATGACGAGGCTGGCAGTGGTGCCGACGCGGAACCATCGAGCAGCAAGCCAAAGCCCCGGACAAAGGCTGCTTCGCGTGGACGGGCGAAGCGCATCGAGAGTGACCCTGAAGTGTGAAACTCACCTTGGCCTCTTTGCACGCTAATCTTACCGGCTCATCTAGAGTTCCGCGGACGAGCCGCCGTCAAAGCGCACCAAACAAGACCCAGCGGAGAACAGCGGTGGAGAAGGGCATGCGGTATCTATATCGTCGCCTTCTTCTGGCCGCAAAGAGGCCGCCGCGCCCGTGGGAGACGATCCGGTGCGCTCTCCAGGATGAGACCCTGCGGGGGCCTCTGCTTACCGGCCCCTTCCTTCCCCGATAGAAGAGCGAGTCAGAGATGTCTGTGCTGATCGACGAGCCCCCGGTGCGTAAGCGCAAGAAGAAAGGCGAGAGCGCGGTGCGTGTAAATCTGTGGCTGTCCACCCGCGGCCCGCGGCTCGCATGCTCACTGCCGCTCCCTTCCCGCAGGAGCCAGCGGTTGGTCAAAGGGTTCCACATGGTGCTGCCGCGCGCTAATCCACACGCGTCTGTACAGAAAGCGAAGGCGACCAAGGGCAGGAAACGCAAGGAGCCGAGCAAGGAGCTCTCCAAGGATGAGGAGACTATCAAGCGGCTCAAGGTGGGCGCCGGCACGTCCCTTCGCTTCTCCCGCTGACGCCTCCGCTCCCGCGCCAGTCCCTTGTTGTCGCGTGCGGCGTGCGCAAAGTATGGTCGAAGGAGTTCAAGGGTCTGGATAAGCCCTCGGACCAGATCCGCCGACTGAAGCAGATCCTCTCTGACCTCGGTATGACCGGCCGCATGAGCATGGAGCAGGCCAAGGCTATCAAGGCGAAGAGGGAGTTCGAGAAGGAGCTAGGTACGTTCGCCCATGAACCAGATTAGGACGCACCCCTCGGCACCGAAGCTCAAAGTAATCCCTACCCATCCAGAGGACGTACAAGAGTTCGCAAGCAAGATCACCTCTGGTCCCTCCACGAAAGGGTCCCGGCAGAAACCCGCCGAAGAGGAGGAAGAGTCGGAGGTCGAAGCGGTGCCCAAACGCAAGGTCCGTCCCCACAGCTGCGCCTTAGGCCTCATGCGACCACGCGCTGACTCCACTGCTGCACGTCGCCAGACCGCCCGCCAAAGCATCATGGCATTCCTAGGTGACGAGAGTGAATGATCATCACGAGAGTCCCCCCCTTCCTCGTCGACTGTGATTTGTGCGCGTTAGTTAGTATTCTGAGTTCTAGCACTTATTGTATGTATACATGTGTCCTGGCTTTCAGCACAAGGATCTGGTGTTGCGACGACATACGAAGCTGCACAAATGCAGCCTTTCGACTCTTGTGGACCTCAGGATCGGTCACCTTGGGTAAGGTGGTGTATGGGCAAAAAAAATTAGATAGCTCTCTGTCGGGGAGTCGAACCCCGCTTTCGCGCGAGCAATTCATTGACAGGCGCGTGTACTAACCGATATACTAACAGAGATGTGTAACGTTGCCTTTTCATTGCCGTACTGCCCTCGCATGATCCCTCGTAGGACGATCCAATATAGTTGTGCTTGAGAAGCCAATGCATGCACTGTGCAATATACTGTACCTATGCACGGGTTGCGACAGAATACGCTCACATCTGCATACGCACAAGATCAGCCGTATGAACCGAATGCGTCGACTCTGCAGCCGGGCCCCCCGCGTGAGCAAAAGTCGCGCCTACCACGGGTTACGGTGGTGCTCGGGAGGCACGCTCATAGAAACCCCGCGCCGCGGAGCACCAGCCGCTGAGTTGGGGCCCTGTGGCTAAATTGACTGAGCAGCAATGCCGTAAGGAACCGAACACGCTCTGCGGGTGAAGATTGCAATAATAGGCGACGGTCAGGTCCGCATCGAGGAGGTGCATTCGTTCGGCGCACATCCAGCGGGCAGCGGGGTAAGGAAACGCCGTCGGAAGGCAGGAGGCAACGTGTCGAGAGGGCGGAAAACTCCCATGACTGCAGATAGATCAGCCGGTCTAGGATCTCGCGGTCTGCGTATCGCAGACGGAGGTGTGCGTTTGGGGTGGTGCCGGCGGCGCCGCGCTAGGTTGTACCGCGGAGGAAGTAGTGGCTTAACGGGGAGGGATTGAGGCTCTTCGCGACAACGAGGATGTCGAAGCAGATGGACGAGTGTCCTGTGGCGCGGGCGTCCCGGATTCCGACGCCGCCGTTGTATGTCAGGCATGACGGTATTGAGATGCAGGGTAGACTGGAGGCGGGAGCAAAGCCGGCGATGGGGCGAACGTGGGCTCCGTACCGCACATCACTGGATAGAAGGGCCAGCGAGCTACGGTTTCACCGTAATTGGGGAACATGAACGACAGTTCGAGCTTAGGGCGGATGGTAGACGGTGTTATCCCTGTCGAACTCAATTGATCGAGCCATCGTGTAGGATTGGGGTCCGTCTGTGTCAAGTGCACGAAGTGGGCCAGAGACGAGCTTGTGCGGCGGGGGCGGTCTGCGCCGCCGACCCTGCACGATCGCGAGACCTCCACGGAGTCCGATAGAATGGGCGCGATCGCAACTCGGAGCCAATAGAGAGGGAGGGTACGACGTACGAGTATGATCATGATGCCACCATGAGTCGTCGGCCATGAGATGCTCGCTGGCCTACGGTTTGCCTGCAAGCAACGGCGCGACCAGAAGCCTGTGCGCGAGCGAGGGCGAGGGCGAGGTGTTGCCGAGCCAAAGCCCGGGTCCGGCGAATACGAGAGAGGAGGTTTGCGGCGACCGGGGGAGGGGCCAGGGTTCGGTGCGGCGGATTGCTCGAGGACGCGCTTGAGCGCCGGACAGAGTGTGCACTGCGGTGGTATGAGGGGATGCCTGCTACCTGTGAGAAGAAGGTAGCGGAGGATAGGTCGTGTTGGGGACTGAGAAATGGAGAACATGCGTATTGGCGGAAGTGCAAGACGCGAAACAGTTGCCAAGAGGCCAACGATGGAAGTGGAGGATGCAAAGAGGAATTGGCATGGGGTAATCGCCATATTTGGTGTGTCTGTGTCGCGATTTCACCAACCACCATGATGTCCTGCCTGCCGACCCAACGGACGGGCCCACGACATTCCCGCCGCCCTAGCAGCCTACGCACAACACATTCTCATCACGGACCCTGCTCATCTACTAGAGATTCGCATCGCCGCCAAAGGCAGCGGCAGATTCCACCGGGTCAGCGTTATCGCCGTCTCTCTGACCACTCGGACATCCCGGAGCCATCGGTCACTCGTGATATCTGAGGGCCATGGACCTCACGGAGTCCCTTCGAGAGTCTCTCTTCATCTGGTCATTAGGAACACGGGCATACCTGCAGAGGAACGCGGCCGCATATTGCGTGTTGTGCCCTGACATGATGAATGAACGGTACGTCCTCCACAGCATATATCCGACTTGTGAGTTGTGGTGGGGATGCGCCCCTTTGCTCTTGGCCCTGTGAAAGCAACTAGACAGGGGCGCAACATCCTGAGCCTCATCCACAGGTTCAGAGCGCAAGGGTTCTCGGTTGCCAATATGGCCCTAACATGGTCCTGACTCTATTATCGGTGCCTTTGAGGCTAGGCTGGACCCATCCCCTACTCTGCACAAGGGTGCCGAGTGAGGGACGGGTCTAAGTACTCCACGCCTTAACGGTTGGTGTATACGCACTTTGCGGTTTCCTAGAAGATGTATGCCGCAGTCCTCGCCATACCGACTGCTTGTCGTCCTCATCATGTCCCCGCGCAGACGACACAACGGTGTCAGCCTGGAGATATTGGCGAGGTGTCAAGCAATCGTCCCTGCTGCCGCGCCCGTGCAGAACATCTCGGCAATGATTGATGGGTGCTGACCCCAGTCCGACCACGTCGCCGTGATTATTCGCTCAAGGCAACCGGAAGGCGCGACACCAACATTGCTGCGAGTATACCTCGAGCTCACCTTAAGGCTTCGGGGCAATTGCAAGACCACGGTTGTGGATAGGGATGGGTAAACCCATGTTGAGCGCATCGCTAGCGGAGGAGCTAACACGTCCCATCAGACCATTGAGCCGACAATTGCCGCCTCACGGGCCGCAACGATGAGACTATGCGTGATAAACGCCCTAGGGGAAAACGACGAAGAGGATGTTCAACGTGGTGAGTGGGTGAGGGCGAGAGATGCGAACAGGGACTCACACAGGGCAGGCACGCTTTAAGCAGAACGACAGTCGGGCAGCAGGCTACTATCAGGCCACCGCAGCGCGGAGAAACATGGTCGTGGCCACCGGGGTACGTATGGGCCGCCTCGACGGCCGAACGCATGCCGCCACCACGTAGACCCAAGAGCTTGGCTCGGTGTTGCGCGGGCGGCGAGGCGGCCCATATTGGTCGGTCGCCGTGTCTCACAACTTGACACAACTCCTGCCACCAAGCCACTCGAGAACCCATGCGGTGCAATCGGTTTGTTACGGCAATGTATTCCTCTGTCGCCACGGCCTCGATGGCGGCTAGAACGGCCGAGTTGTCGCTGCCGACTACCTGCTGCCGTACGCAACCCTCATGTGCCGCCTCATTGATATCCCACACACCAACCTCGACATCGCCCAGAGCGCTAACCCCTGCCCGAGCGGACGTCGGTGGTACTTGTAGGAACCTCGAACGCCGGCCGGGAAAACCCTCGCCAGCGGTGCCTACGGCGCCACCCGGGCGTGCGCCATACTCCTGTTCCCATCCGAAAGTGGTCTGGTTGAGATCTTTTTCCTCGTCTGTAAGGTCCGAGGATTGTTTGACTCGTGCTACATCGACGGAGGCTAATTCACCTTCTTCCAGCCTCAGGGCTCGACGGGGCTCGTGCACGCTCTAAGGGTCCACGCAGAATGGCGACAGCACGGCGATCCTCGGGCTTCTCGGTGCTCTAGATGCGCTCGCTATCGGCTGACAGGAAGGACCTCGTTGGCAGCGCTATGCCACCATCTCCAGCCATCTCCTCATAACCGGCGCCGAATACGCCTTCGCGGGAGAATCTCTTCGATTTTACAGTATTGTCTCCGGTGTCGACACCTACCGAGGTTCTATCAATGCCTACTCAAAACCTCTCGGCTTCCGCGTGCCCTTCTACCCTTATCCAGCAAGGCCCTGTGCATGCCCCTCACATGGCGTGTTGTCTCAGTAGAGTATGTAGAGTTTCCACGGCCCAAAGTCTCCGGGATCGACGTGATGACCCCGATATCGTCTGCTCGACGTATCAGAGTTGTACACGACTATAACAGATGCGTGCTGCCTCAGTCTCACAACTTCGGCGCAAATCAGGTTCCTTGTGACCGCAATTATGGGAAGATGTGCTGAAGCTTGCGATAAATCATGATAATGCTAGCGTGTCACCCTGTTCTCGGAACAATGTTCCCAGAACTTGAGACACACCGACGCTGCTACGGACAAGGAGAAGCCCCCTGTTTACTACAGTGTATCGCGAGCGTGCGGGCAATATGATCACCGGGGAAGATCGCGGCGAGCGTGCTCCTGCCGTTGTTGGCAAAGAGATGCCTGGGCAGTTGGGCGCCTAAGTCGAGGATGGTAGTGCGATTGACGGTTGTGGGCTCGGCGAGTTGCACGAAGCCGCCACAAAGCCCGCGCGGCGTCACACTGCAACGTGAAACCGGCCAGTGATCTTCGCCTGCGGTGCTACTCGCGTGGACCCACCGTCTCAAACAACACGCGTACCCAAGACCGTCTCAAGTCAGCTGATACCTGCGTGCATCAGCACCGTGACGGGGGATACCCACATTCAAGTACTGGGCGCATCGATATCGGGACTTCTCTAAACGCAAATCTTGGAGTACAGTAGTCCAGCAGAGGATGACGTTCTCCACTCACAAGGCTCCCTCAGGTGCGCCATTCCCATGTCTGATGTTGACCGTACCCCTAACGAACTCTCGTAGGCTTCTTGCTTCCGTCCATCCATGCAGCACCTCCCTTCTTCACGCGAGTTTTTCTTGGTTATAGCGCGTACAGCTTGAGGTGCTGATACGCTTATCTCGACAGGCAACAGCCGAATCCGGGGACGCAGGCAACGGTAACGCAACACTGGACGCGCCTCATACTCGCCTATGCACGGCATCGGAACCTCTTCGTCCTTCGTACCGAAGACGCAGACGTCCCTGGGGGCGACTGGGACGAGATCCTCCGCAATCCGCGGATCAACCGTACGTCGTGCAGTTGCCTCTCCCGAGTCCCGACCGACTGACGACTCGCCCGAACGTGCTTCTGTGTGCGGTCGCGACGCGTCCAGGCCGGCTGCTCTCGTCGCACCTCTCTGCGATCCTCGCAGACATGGTCGCAAAGGGCCACGCGGTGTACGAGCCCCCGAAGCAGACGTCATCCGTACTGCTCTACTGGCGGTCGCCGGAAGAGTGGGCGCAGGTGCTCTACGACTGGGTACGTCACGTCTTCTGCCGCCCCTTCAACGTTTTCCCTTCCCTTTTCCTTCCGGCCACAACGCACGAGTA